AACCTAGATAAAAAGATTTTGGCCTGAGTTTCTTTTTAACAACTATGGAGATGCAGCTGTTACGCAGACCTGTATTTCAGTGCTACCTTGTGAACATGTCCCCAGTCAAGCAACCACAGCTGCAGTGGTGGGACTTCTTAGCCTATTTATTTGTGTTAATCTCAGCCTAATGCAGACAAAGATGCAGAGGAACAGCTGAGCTATTTGTCTGTTCCTCAGCAACTCAAACCGACAGTGATTCCATCTGTGGAGAATATATGCAAGGAGCCAAGCCAAGGTATGGGATCTCAAAACATTTAGCGCCCTCAGTTTTGTGTAAAACAAGACCTGGAATATGAAAAACCCATAAAATAATGAGCTGTCTGCTAGAAGCAGGACAGAGCCTCCTGGTATAAACACTGTTTAATGAATAGCCAGTGAATTCTTGTAATTAACTTTAAAACTGTCCACATTTTCTATTTTTCTTTATCTACCAAAAGGAGAAACAGCCCATTTAATTTGAAAGAGAAGTTAGGATGAGGTATTTCATGCTGTAATATGAAACGTAGGGGTTCTCTGATTTAACTGTTGTGTAACATCTCATCCATGTGACAGCTCTGTTTCCTTAGTCATGTTGTCCTTTGGTTCCCTTTTTGACCTGCAGCATTGCAGCAGCAGATCAAGCAAAGTGGAAGTGCTTGAGAATAGGATTAGAATGTTACATTTTTAAATTCTTGAAAGAGTATAAGCAAAGAACATCACAGAAACACAATAGCAAATGAATTGTTTCATTTGTTTGAAGTGTGGATGTTTGACATATGTGTAAGTTTCTTACCCTGAGGTTATTGATGCCTGTAGCTTTGCTGAAGATCTTTAGTGGAGGCAGCCAGTTTGGCCAAAATTTCTTGGCTGTAGAATAAACAACTTAGAAGGGAAATTTCAGAAATTCTTCTCATTACCTAATCATCCTGATCTGTAGTTATGAATCAGTATTTTATTTTATTCTTGCTTGAGTTTAGCCCTGCAAGCGTGAGATATATAAAACATTTTATAGTTACCTAAAAAAAAAAAAAGTCTTAACTTTTTAATCTTTATTTTATGACACGGAATTAGAATATTTTCATTTGATTTGGACTTGATGTCAAGCATTAAATATTTCTGCATTTTTGTCTCTTAAAAAAAAGGGAAAAAAAAATTGTGTGTTGTCTGATCAATAAGCAGCTGTCTGTAAAGCTCAATGTTTTGCTCTGCATACACCCACTTGTCAGCTCAATGCTGCTTCCCAGGGTGAGACTGACTAGAAGTAGTGAAAAGATGATGTAGTAGCTCAAGAACAGTTGAAGCATAAGAGATTACAGGGATTTGGGAGCTTAAACAAGTATTTACCAGTAAGTCCTTAGCTTAATTTTGATAGACTTTTGCAGTTAAATATCTTTTTCTCAGCAGAACTACAGAAAATTTAATGAGTGGAGCTGTTTATAAGCATCAAGCAAAACTAGGAAAACACCACACAATTCAACAAATATAGGTTCTGTTCCCAACCTGAAATTAGGCCTCAGGTTTTTTAGCTTGCAAACCTGATCCAAGATCTGGGCAAACATGAGCTCTTTCCATTTCCTTTTGTCCTATCTGAAAATTAATTAAATGCAGAGTTTTCACATATTTCTCAATGAAAAACAAATGTCTTGTGATCAATGTCTACACAAACTGAAAAAAAGAAGGAAACAGCACATGAACCTTCCACCCCTTATCAGAAAAATTTTCAAAACCAGAAAGCCCCTATTTTATACAACAACTTGCATCATATTCTGTAGTCTCAATATCAAGTACAAATCTGATGCAAGATAATTTCAGTTATACCTTAGCACAAAAAAAATGTATTACCAACAGGTATATGGTAGTCCAACAGCTAACGCTACTTTTCCTCATCAGATGACTCAGGTGCAGTTTTAAGGGTCAGCAGAGTTCTGTAACCCATGAAACTGAAGAAAAAAAAAAAGATGTACGTTTGTAAATGTCTACATTTGTGATAATCTTGTATAACACTACTATACAGAGGAACTGCCATGTGAATACACCAACTCAACATTTTTACTTAAGACAGCCATAATATGCTTATTCTGCATTTCCC